TTTCTGGTGGGCCATGGTGGTGTCCTGCCTCCCAGAGTCTTCCCTGAGCTGTGGCAGTCGTCACATCCCCAGGAGAGGGATAGGGACAGGGGGAGTGATAGGAAAAAAGGAAGAGTTTGGGAGCAGGGTTGCTCTGCAATGCCAGGAACTTGTGGGTGAAGGGAAGCGAGCAAGCTCTGGAATTCCAAAATACTGGCTATGGCCTTGGGCAACTCCCAATCCCTTTTTCAGCCTCAGTCCATTGTCTGTAAAATGGGGCTTCAGCATGAACAGGTGAGATCAGGAAGGGATTATGAATACAAGCTTAAGAACTGACTATCTGATCTAGTCTTATTCTGCTACTTCCCAGCTGTGTGACTTCGGCAAGTGACTTAACCTCTCTGGGCCTCGTTTTCCTGACTTGTAAAATTCACAGTATCCACTTCATAGGACTGTTGGGGAATTACATTTATATATACATATGAAGTGCTGGACCCTGAAGCCAGACTGCTGGGGTTATAAAGGGGGCGTGGGGAAGTGGGTACAAATTGTCAGGGCCTGAAGACCTAGAGAGGGGCTCTGGGTTGATGATACTGTCTGACCTAGCTGAGAGGCCTAGAAATTATTGTCACCAAAGCTTGAACCCAATCTTGGCAGCCCTGTGCCAGTTTGACTCCCAGCTCTGCCTCTTCCCAGCTGTGTGACCTTGGGCAAGTCACGTAACCTCTCTGAACCTGATTTTTCAGAGTGGGATATTACTACAGAGGATTCTGGGAAACAGAGTGTCTGACATTTTTGGCTTCTCCAAAGGAGGCAGTTATAGGGTGGGAGAGCTCCCCAAGTGTAGAAAGGGCTTCTGATGCCATGTGGCCAAAAAGAGTATCAAATGTCCCCACGAGGGATTATCAAGGGCGCAGAGGGCTGGGCTGTGCCACCCACAATGCGTGCGATGTGGCTGGATCTTCTGCCTCCTCTGCTCACAGCCCGCAGTGGCTGGAAGCTCCTCCACAGCCCCCAGGGCCTGACTGGTCTGCTCCTGTCCCCTCTCCAGCCCCATGTTCCTTCTCCCACTCTCCCCTCTGTCCCATCTGCCCCAGCCCTGCAGCCTCCACCCCGTCTCTCAGATATGCCAAGCTACTCCCACCTCAGGGCCTTTGCACCTGCTGTTCCCCGCTTCCGGATTCCCCACACGGCAGTCTCCCTCCTCTCCCTCAGGTCTCTGCTCAGATGTCACCTCCCCAGAGAGGCCTGATCTCATCTCCTCTGCTGTGTGCCCTCCTTCAATTTCCTTCAAAGCTTTATTGTCCCAACATGACCGCATATATTTACTTGTTCACTGTGACTAAAATGTCACCTCCATGTGGCCAGGGGTTTTGGTTGTTTTCTGCTGTGTCCCCAGTAATTGCTCAATGTGTAATTGTGAAAATGATAAATGCGTAACGATTCCAAACCAGTTCCTTTTGGTCCTCTGCGCCTCAGTTTCCCTAACCAGGAGAGAGACCTCCATCACTCTGACTTTGCTGTGAAGGGACAGGTGGGTGGAAAGATCAGGGTCTGGGCCTCAAGGAAAAGTTTTCTAAGCACCCCCTTCTCCATCAGTACTCTGGGGAGAGGCAGAGAGGGCCCCTTTCCCTAAGTCAGTCCCGCCCACCTGGGAAGAAATGGGTAAGAGCCGGGCGAAGGGAGGGACCCTAGAGACGAGGGACCGTTCTCTTCTTCTTTGCAATCTTGGGGCTTCCTGCCCTTGCCCACTGCTTGACCTGCAATCCTGGTGCCTTCCAGGAGGAGGCGGCGGCTTCCTCTGTGCGTCCCCTCTTCCACAGATGCCCCTTCTCAGCCTCCGAGATCTCCAGCTGCAGCGGAGATGCTAAGAACTTCCGCTGCGCCCAAATCTGCGTGAGCGGTGCACCCAGCTCTGACCAGAGTCACCGCCCTGCCCCCTTCCCCTGGGGGTGGGACAAGCTCCAGGGGCCGCCGCTGCCCTTGTAAGGAGGCAAGGCCCAGGGACACCCGAGAAGCCTGGTTATAATTAACCCGGACACGTGGCGACCCCACCCCCCGACACCTGCCCTGTGCCCCCGCTTCCCCAGCGCCCCGGGTTCTCAGGCTGTGCAGAAGAGACAGCAAAGCGCGTTCTAAAAATAAACTCCCGTCCCGGGCGAGTCCTTCCCTGTCCCCTCCACAGCGGAAATCTCACCACGTCACCGTCACGGGGAGGGCGGGAGAGGGGACGGTGACCACGGCCTCCAACCCTGGCCTCGAGTTTGAACCTCAACTCAGCCGAGCCTCAGTTCCCGCCACCCACTCACTCCCAAGGACGAAAGCGCATCTAAGCCCGGAATTTGGGGGGCAGGCAGCCCAGAGTTCCAACCTCAGTTTTGTTCATAGGCTACCTATAGTTGGGTGACAGCCTCTTTGGACCTCCGCTTCCTCCTCTGGAAAACGGGGTACCTGGCGCTCCTGGGGCCATTGGGAAGTGTCCCCAGGGGCAAGGGGTCAACGCTTGCCGTTTTCCAGACCACTGGGGGCTGAGGAGAGGCCTGGGTACAGGAAGGCCAGGGGAAGGTGGCTTCTACGTGCCTGGGACATTTCCTGCGACGATCCCATGTCCCTGGCCAGGGGCCAGCAGTCCCCGCCAGCCCGATTCAGCACTTGGTCAGGGGATCAGCTTGGCGGGGCTGTCCTAGGGAGGCCCATACAAGGCCATGGGGCTGGGCGCAAGGCACGCCTGGGTTCGGGGTGGGCACGGTGCCTGGGCAGCGAGGAGAGAGGCTCAGCTGCCCTCTGGCCCACTGCCCAGGGGCAGCCCCTCCCAGCCAATAGCAAAGCCCCTATATAAGGCCAGGGCTGCAGGCTCTTCCTTCGGGTCAGTGGTGCCTACAGGACACAGACAGCCCCTTTCAGCACAGCCCAGACAGGTACCACCCGGGGTGGGGATTGGGGAGGGGTCCAGAGTGGGACCCCGTGGCTGCCGGAGGCTGGCCCGGCTCAGGAAGGGGCCCTGCATGTCTGTCTGCTCCCACGTTCTCCTGCAGGCGAGTCAGTGTGTAGGAAGGTTGACCTTGTGTCTGGGAGTCCCCTCCATCTGTGAGTCCCCAGCTCATGCTGTGACTCGTGATCTCTGTGGCACAGGGTCCTGGGGAGGGATCCTGGAGAAGAAAGGAGGCTTGACAGCTGCCAGCTGTCACCTCCTGCAAGGGGTTGGGGGCCTGGCCCGTGTTCATGATGGTTTGTCACCAGAACTGGGCGCCACAAGCCGTGCGAGGTGCCTGCGTATCACCCACCGGCCAGGGTTCTGCAGGAGCAGGCACTGTGGGGGCTTTGCATTTGTGACCCTGTGGGTCCCCGTTGTGTCCCCCAGCAGTGTGTCCTTGCGCCTGCCTTTCCGTGGCTCCTGCACGGGTGCCTGTATCCTGGGTGTGTCCCTAAATTTGGAGGCATGCATGTGTGACTCTTGCTTATGGTGTGATCTGGGGTTCACAGTGACCTGTGTGTGGCTCTGGGGCTATTTCTGCTCTTGTCCCTTGGGCTCACTCATCCTGCCTTGGTGCCCTCTCCTGGCCTGTCCCCAGCAGGGATGGGGGCGGGGACACCCTCTGAAGGGAGGTTTCTGGGCTTGCAGCCCTTGAGCCCCGAGGCCTGGATGCACGTCCTTTCACTCGCCCCGGCCCACCTGTCTCCTGCCTGCTGACTTGGTGCAAGGCGAGCCCCTGGAATGTGGGGGTGGGGGGGTGGCAGCTGGATAGGGGGGAGGAGGAAGAGTCTGCCAGACTCTAAAAATAATCCCCAACCCCGCACAGCAGCTCCAGAGGTCTCTCAAGGGTCCCCGTCGCCCTGGCCTGATGCCTCATCGTGGTCCCTCCCAGTCGTCCCACCATCCTCCCTGCTCCCCATTCCTGGAGCTGGGAGCGAGTGTCCCACCCTATCACCACCACTGAAGGATCCCTCCTCCTTTCTGAGTCTTGTGAATAAAAGTAATAATAACAATAATAGCAGCCATGCCCCGAGACGCTGGGCCCCAATTCCGCACCAGGGCTGGTGCTCAGCCGGCCACATGCCCGGCCTCGAAGAATCCTCCTGGCAACCCCGTGAGGAGGGCTCAGTTCACAGGAGACAGAGGCTCAGAGAGGCTGAGCAACTGGCCTGGGGTCACACAGCAGGGAAATGGCATTGGTGGGATTCGAACCCAGCTCTGTCGACCCCAGAGGCTGAGCTTTTCTTCCCACCTGAGCCCCGTGGAAGAGCTGTCGGCACACAGAGCGGGGGCCAGCCACCCCACCCGCTTTCGTCCACCCTGCCCTTCACCCCCTGACTGAGCACCCAAGAACCTTCAGAGAGACACTGTCCCCTCCCTGCTCATGCACTCATTCCCAGCAACACCCTCCACCTCGCACCAGCTCCTCCTCACACAGACCTTTCAAATAACAACAATAACAACAACAATGACAACAGGAATAATAATAGTAATAGCTGAGCAGAATAAGGCTTATTGTGGGGCGGGCACTATTCCAAGTCCTTTACATACATTAACTTCCTTAATCCTCCCACAGCCCCAAGAGCGGGGTGCTATTATGAACCCAGTTTCACAGAGGAGTAACGTGAGGCACAGAGAGGTTAAGAAACTTGCCCGTGGTCACACAGCTTGTAGTAAGCGGCAGAGCTGGGATTCAAACCCAGGCTGTCTGATTCTAGAAACTACTCCAGATTTTACTACTCCGACATGAAGGTTCCCCCCTCCATTCTCCAGCTGGAGAGAAACTGAGTCTCTGACAAGGTTACAAGTCCACAGTCACCTGCTAAGATGTCGCAGAGCTGGGATCCTAATCCAAGGCTCCTGATGCATCCTGTCAAAACACAGGGGCCTGTGTCTCTCCAAGTCACGCAGCACAGGGGTCAAGACTGGCTCTCTGGCCTGCCCGACCCCAGAGCCTCGCTCTATTACCGTGCTGGTCGCCGCTGGAGGCGAGCTAACCTTCTCCCTCTCGCCCCCCAGGCCCCCCAGGCCCCCCCACACCACCACCATGCCATTCGGTAACACCCACAACAAATACAAGCTGAATTACAAGCCGGAGGAGGAGTACCCAGACCTCAGCAAGCATAACAACCATATGGCCAAGGTGCTGACCCTTGACCTCTATAAGAAGCTGCGGGACAAGGAGACTCCCTCCGGCTTCACTCTGGACGATGTCATCCAGACAGGTGTGGACAACCCAGGTAACAGGGCGGAGTGTCGCCGGCACTGGAAGGAGGGGGGCGGTGCTTCGGAGGCTGCCTGCCAGGCCTCCACCCCGCCTCCCTGGGCCTCAGTTTCCTCATCTGTGAGGTGGGGATTATACTCACGGGGCTGTTGTGAGAAACACATTAATTCACATGTGGAAAGGGCCGGGGACAGGCCCTGACACATACATAGTAAACCACTCGGCAAATGCACAGGAGCGCAATGTGAGACTTCCCCCAGAAAGTCATTTGATCTCCCCCGGCCTTGTTTGCCATGCCTAAAAAGTGGGCACCTGTATTGTGACGACTTAAGAGCCAGTGTATGTGACAACATACAGTGCCAAAGCAGTGCCTGGGACAAAGTGAGCACTCGGAATCTGACAGGGGTGTTCCCGGTGGACACCAGTGCACCTGGTCACAGGAGACCAGGTTCTAGTCTTAGTCTCGAACTCATCGCGTGACTGAGGAGAGAAGCCCCCTCTCTCCAGGCCGCTGCCTCTCTGTCTGGCGAGTGAGGGCGTCTTGCAAGTCTCTTATTCTCTGTGGGAGCTGAGAGTCTAAGGTTCTGAAAAATTGTAGGTGAAAATTCTATGATCAGTGGTAACAGTTTTAAGACCTTGTAACCGGCCCCCCTGAGACTCTCCCTTCTCCTTTGCCTGGCCCCCAGCATTATTCCCTCACCCCAGAGGCCACCTTGACCTTTCTCAGCCTCTCCTCCCCGTTTTTACCAAACTTCAGCCTTGTCCGTTCTGACCCAGAGGTTGAATGAACCCCTGTGCATGTGCACGCGTGCACGCACACATGCAGCCTACACTCTACCCAGGAGACCAGGTCTTCTTTGCTGGGGCCAAGCACCTCTGACCTCACGCTGACCCCCAGGTCACCCCTTCATCATGACCGTGGGCTGTGTGGCCGGTGACGAGGAGTCCTACGTGGTTTTCAAGGAGCTCTTTGACCCCATCATCCAGGACCGGCACGGGGGCTACAAGCCCACTGACAAGCACAAGACTGATCTCAACCACGAGAACCTCAAGGTTGGCTTGGTGGGTGGGGTGGGG